ATAAATATATGTACATGAGCTTATCAAAAATTGTTGGAATCAACATAAACTTGCATGTTTGAAGTGGAGAAAGTAGCTAGAAGTCGTAATATTTCAGTGTAAAGTTTTCTGAGCCATTCTCAATCACCAGCAAAGAGCCACATATATAGATTAAGAATGCATTTGGCCTCATATATTCATTGACAGATGAATGAATAAAAAACACATGGTAATGCATAGAGTTTCCATTCGGAAATATGAAAAAGTTATGGAGAGAGATAGTGCTAATGAGTATACAACAGTGTGAATGTACTTAATGCTACTGAATTGTATACTTTAAGAATGATTAAATAGTAATTTTATATTATTTATTATAGGAATTCATCTCGATTTAAAAATAGAACTAATTGCAGTGACTAAAGAGGCAAGTTTTTAAAATTTAAACTTAAAATTAAAAAAATCTCATGTAACAAGATACATGGGAAGAGACTGGGTTTAGGCAGGCTACCCAGCAGTACTCTCTGGTTTTCAGGTCTGTCCTTTCTCTCCTGCCTTCCTCAAAGTATGTGGTTTGTTATTATTATTATTATTTTAAAATTTATCCCACTCAGTGGCCATGGCGGGGCCTTGATGCTCATGCATGTCACCCCTCAGTCACACTGCTGTGCCTCATGCTTAGCTATGCAAGTGCAGGCATGGAAAGTTGCATTTAGTCAGATATGGCAGAGACATTCAACTTAATGCTCTCTGAAGATCCATATATCCCCCCATATTTCACAGGCCCCTTGTGGTTGCCTAAGAACATGTAGCTTTTCCTGGCCAGTGGACTGAAATGGTAATGATATTTGTCACTTTCAGCCTAAAGTGGTAATACAGCCTTCTGGAACAGCAGGGTGGCCCTCTTGTTCTTGTGGAGGGGAAGTATGTGATTCAGGTAGTGCATTTACAGGTGATGGAGTCTCTGCGTTGGTTTGTTCTTTTTGCTTAGGTTTGAGTGAGTGAGTGTGTGAAGCAGATCTTTAGGTGATGCAAGTATGACCTATAACATTAATGAGAATTATATTTTAAGCCACTGAGATTTGGGCATTGTTTTTGCAGCCCAGAATAGCTATTCTGACTGTTACTCCAGTGTGGGCTTTTGCCAGGCATGTCTGATGAAGTGAGAGAAACAGGGAGGCTTTCAGGAGCAAGGGAATGGATGTAAGTTGATGAAGCATGGAATTTTAGTTGGGTAAGAATAGAGGTGAGGACCTGAGTGGGTTGAGGAATAGTTAAAAGGCAGCAGAATTAATGGATGGCAGTTTTTGGTGAGATGGAGGGAATGTTGGAGTTAGAAGGAGCTAGAAAGATAGAAGTAAGATGATTGTGATTGAGATCACTCAGGAGTTCATATTACTACTAAAGATGGGAGTGAGTTTATCAGGTAGTGTGGATAACTGGAGGAGAGGATATCAGAATACCTAGAAGCCAAGATATTGGGAGAATCATCTAGATTAGTATTAAATTCAGCAAGAATGATGACAAGTAGTAGTGTTGGGCAGAGTAAAAGTGAGCTGGGAGTTAAAATCTCTAAGAAATTAATTTGTCTTTACACGTCTGAAACTGTCTCTATTCACCCTCACTCTAGAATGGTAGTTTAACTGATTCCAGCTTGGCAGTGGTTTTTTCTGTTTGTTTTTTGCCATAGCATCTTTAAGATATTAGTCTTGTGGCTTATTTTGTTGCTTGGAGATATTTAGTTATCAGTTTAAAATTTTTGAATTTTTTTGTAGGTGATTTTTTTCCACTTTTCTTTTTGGTTAGTTTTTAAATATTTTCTTGTTGTCTTTGGTCCAGGGCTTCAAAATGATACAACTAAGGACAGATTTTAATTTTTATTCCCCTTTTTTTAGAACTTTATGTGGATCTTTAGTTTAATAACTTAAATTCTAGAAAATGCTTATTCATTACTCAGGTATTAGTGTTTTCTTCTTCTTTCTTTTATCTCTTTCAAAATGCCTAAGGGCATTACCGTTTTACACTCTGGGCCTTTTAACTCCTCGTTTTCTTTTTCTGTATCATTCTAGGCTCCTTTTCTTTTTCTTACTGTGTTACAGTTTTCTCTATTTCAGGGACAGGCAAACTATGATCTGTGGGCCTGTTTTTGTATAGCTCATGAGCTAAGAATGATTTTTTAGTTGTTAAGACTTGTTGCAAAAGATTAAGAAGATTTGATAGACAGAAATTACGTGTAGCATTCAAAGCCTAAAATGTTTACTATTTGGCCTTTTATAATTTTTTTCAACCTCTGTCCAATTATTTTTACTTCTTGAAATGATAGTATTTTTTTTTTTGTTTTTTGCTATTGCTTATTCTTCCTTATGGTTGTATATATATGTGTGTTGGGGGTTGCAATTTTTTATTGGGAGTCCATCTTCAGTATGGGTTTTGAAAGTTTAGGTATACCCACAAGAGAAGACATGTATTATAATTCAGAAGTCTTTGAGCATGGGACATGCTGAATTCTCAGCAACAGGAAACACACTGGGAAAGAGTGAACTGGGGCTGGTATAAGGGTTAGTATTAATCTGAAATGACCTGGCCATAGAGACTGGCATTCCTAAGGTTGTGGGAATGTCCAGGATTCCTCCTGAATCCAGGGTTTTTATATGAGCCCTTAAGGTTGGTATGTAGAATACACAGTCAGGGCACTGACATCAGGACTGGCCAGAATGACAGTTAAGTGAATGGTAAGTAACCAAGCAGAGGTCTGACACTTCTGGGGAGGTCTGACAGTATGTACTAGCACCCCTGTTAAGTGCTGTGTACGCTGGGCTTACCAAAGAGTTGTGACTGAGTAACAGCCTGGCAAATGAATGGATGGGGAAAGAAATGAAGGTCAGGTCCATATTTTGAGGACTGATAAGTACCAGGCAGGTATCTTCTACCAGTCTTTGTCCTAGACTAATCAGACAGGAAGAATATGGAGAGAGACCTCTAATAGTTGTTTTGTAGATCCCTTGGGATTTTCTACCTAGACAATTATATCATCTGTGCATAGAGACAGTTTTACTTCTTCCTTTCTGCTCTTTATGCCTTTTTCCCCCTTTGCCTTATTATGATGGTTGAACTCTCCAGTACATTGTGAAGAGAAGTGATGAAAGCAGACATCATTGCCCTGTTTCTGATCCTAGGGAGAAGCAGTGTTTTGTCATAAAGTATTATGTAACTGTAGGGTTTTTTTTTTTTTTTTGCAGATGTTCTTTATTTCTGCAAATTGATAACTGTATTTACAGGCCTAATCTGAATCAAGTATAGTTTTTTTGGGCAGTGGGCAAGACTACATAGGTATGATTTTCTCAAGAGATACATAGTGTTTGGTATCTTTCTGTGATATTAGCAGCCACTGATGATTGCCTCTATCAATTACTACATTATGGGTTACAACTGGTTATATCCCAATTCTATTAATTTCTTTTTTCATTTTTTATCTGGGATACTTCTATAGAGAAAATAATCCTTCATAAATTGTTTGGTTACTCTGGTATATAGTTCCTATAAGAAGGAAAGAAACATGCTTGCTTGTTTTCTTTATCAGCTTTCAGAATAATGAATTGGTTACATCCATCCTCCAAAAGTGACCGATGCTTTTAAAAACATGAGTTACGAATTTATTATGTGTTTTAATCCACTCATTTGTCATGCTTATTGATACTAAATAAGTGGGTATTTTTCATTTTTTAAGAACTTGGTATTTTTCACTTCTAGGTTTCTTGTCAGGTCTTTATAATCCATGTTTTCTGCTAAGATGTAAAAGCATACACATACTCTTACTTGGATAAGTAAGGACAGAAAGAGGATATAAAGAAAGATTTATTTCTAATATTAGTGATTAAAGAGTGGAACTGTTTGCCTTTGAATCATACTTTAGCTCTATGGCAGTGTATTCTAAGAAACCTTGGGATTTTGTAGGCAAAACCACAGCAGTCAAACTTTCTTTGAATGGAACCTGCAGGAGAGTAAGCTTTGGTGTTATGACTCCTTGTTAAAGATGACCAATGTTGGAGAATATAAGTAGTAATTTAAAAAGTTTCTTGGTAAACAGATCAATCATTAGTAAATTCCAGTATCACAACAGGATATAAGAATTTACAGGGAATTTCTGATATACATTGTGTATGATGTAATGTTAACTTCATGTGGTTTAGCTGTTTGACTTCAGGCATATGTAGATAACCTTCTGACTATTCATTTAGTTTATAATATGCCAATTTCCTAGCAGCTGTTATTGTCTTAAAGTATAACATTTCACTGTTCAACATCAAATCTGTGCACAAAGGGAATTAAACTTAATGGTGTTTTGTGAGCTTAGCACAATGTACATAGTAAGTGTCAGACATGGTTTCTTTCTGTTAGCTTTATTGTCATCTTTGTCACAATTATAAAAACAGCATTGCAAGAATTTACTGAATAGTAAATGCCACAGAGTTATATATTGAATTATGTATTTAGATCTGCCTTTAAGTATAGATATTCATTCACAAATATATGTTTAGATCCTGAAAGATGTTTATATTTGCTTTTTACCAAAAACTACAGGGAAGCCATTTCTGGCAAATATCTGGCAATTATTTGGCAATTTCTAAAACCAATTCATACTTTTATGAACTGATAGTATTTGTGGCAACGAGTGTATATTGAAATGCACCAATGTGGTTTAACAGCAATATATAATATTTTTTAGGAGGATTTTTTTTCGTTAGTGCCTAACACCAGTCATAGTACATATTAGCTAAACAGAGAACTGTGTATCATATTAATTTGTATTGGTTTGGTTTTGGTTGATAAACTGTGTGTAGTTTCTTGTGACTCTCTTTACTAATATTACCGGATTGCTCATGGAAGTCATTTCATCCCTCGCTGAATCATCTTCCAAGCTAACTACACTCTTAAGTGAAGCATCAGAGTGTTCTAAAGCTATTGAAATAAGCAGGGTGTTCTGTGCTGATTTTCTTCACCTGTTGGTGTCTTTGGATTTCTAGGATGTGGAGAGCATCTTGTGCGCACCATACTGGCTAGAGAATGTTCACGTGCTTTACAAGCTGAGGATGCTCACCAAGCCCTGCTGGAGACTATGCAAAACAAGTTTATCAGTGAGTATAACATTAAGAAGGTTACATTCTCCTAAGTATAGATTATTTCACTGCTAGAAGCACTATGTGTCAGGCACTCCATTTGTATTTCTACACCTACCTCTAGGGCCTAGCAAAGAGAAAGACCCACAGTTAAGATTGACTATGAAAAGAAATTCCACAATAGCTAGTATGGAATGAAATCTTCCGTATAACTAAGCTAATCCCCAAGCTATAAGACACTGACAAGGCTTACAGTGATATATAGTAGGATAAATATATAACTATATGTTAATAAGAATCGCCCAGTGGCAAAATGTGAGCTGAGAAATGAGGCATGAATAGGCATTTAAAGTCTGTCTCTAGTGATGTATCAGAAAACAGTTGATTATATTCATGTTACTATGTCCTCAAATATATTAGAATCAGACTTAAGTTTTATTGTTATTTTGTTTTAAAAATTACCATTGCTGAATGCTGTTTTAAAGGAAAACCAGATTCTTTGGCTTAATAGCATATGTTATTTACATAGTAGTTATTAGTTATTAGATGCATTCTCAGAATGTTAATGAGAAGGAATTATGTTAAGTGAAATAAGCCAGGCACAGAAAGAGTAGAAAAGTAGATGCTCATCAGAAGTTCACTACCTAGAAAGATCTCTATAATTAAAACTATAAAACACTAATGAATGAAATTGAAGAGGATACCAAAAATGGAAAAATAGTCCATGTTATGGATTGGAAGAATCAATACTGTTAAAATGTCCATACTACCCAAGGCAATCTAAAGATTCAATGTAATCACTGTCAAACTACAAATGACGTTCTTCTGAAATAGAAAAAACAATCCTAAAATTTATGTGGAACCACAAAAGACTCAGAATAGCTAAAGCTATCCTAAGCAAAAATAACAAAACTGGAGAAATCACATTATGTAACTTCAGATTATACTATAGTAAACAAAATGGCAAGGGACTGGCATAAAAACAGACACACAGACCAACGGAACAGCATAGAGAATCCAGAAACAAATCCACACACCTACAGATTCATAAAGGTGTCAAGAACATATGCTATGGAAAAAAATCTCTTCAATAAATGGCGCTGGGAAAACTGGATAACCATATGCAGAAGAATGAAACTAGACTCCTATCTCTCACTATATGCAAAAATCAAGTCAAAATGGATTAAATACTTAAATCTAAGATCCCGAAATATGAAACCTACAAGAAAACATTGGGGAAAATCTCTAGGACATCGATCTGGGCAGAATTACATGAGTAATACCCTATAAGCATAGGCAACTAAATAAAAAATGGACAGAAGAGATGATAACAAGTTAAAAAGCTTCTCTGTATCAACGGAAACATCAGCAAAATGAAGAGACAACTCATAGAATGGGAGAAATATTTGCAAACTATCCATCTAACAAGGGATTAGTAACGGGAATATAAAAGGAGTCCAAAAAACTCTATAGGAAAAAACAGTCCTAAAATTTTATTATTATTTTTAGAACTCTTACAAACTAATAATCTGATCCAAAAATGGGTAAAAGATCTGAACAATTTTTATGTGAAAATTGCAAACAGGCATATGAAAAAGTGCTAAACATTATTGCTCATCAGAGAAATGGCAAATCAAAACTACAATGAAATATCATCTCACTGCAGTTAAAATGGCTTATATGCAAAAGACAGGCAATAACAAACTCTGGTGAAGATGCAGAAAAAAGAAAAACCTGGTACAATGTTGGTGGGAATGTAAATTAGTACAACCACTGTGGAGAATAGTTTGGAGGTTCCTCAAACAACTAAAAATAGAGCTACCATGTGATCCAACAATCCCGCTGCTGTGTATATCCCCAAAAGAAGGGAAAAAGTATATTGAAGAGATACTTGCACTCCCATGTTTGTTACAGCATTGTTCACATAGCCAAGATTTGGAAGCAACCTAAGTATCTAGCAGATGTATAAATAAAGAAAATGTGTCATATATACACAATGGAGTACTATGTAGCCATAAAAAAGAATGAGATCTTGTCATTTGCAACAACATGGATGGAACTGGGGAAAATCATTACGTTAAGTGAAATAAGCCAGGCACAGAAAGACAAACCTCACATGTTCTCATGTATTTGAGGGATCTTAAAGTTAAAACAATTGAACTTATGAACATAGAAAGCAAGATGATTACTAGAGGCTGAGAAAGGTCCTAGAGGACTTGGCAGGATGCTTAACAGTTACAAAAAAATAGAAAGAATGAATAAGACCTACTATTTGATAGCACAACAGGGTGACTGTGGCCAATAATAACTTTAATTATACATTTAAAAATAACTAAAAGAGTGTAATTGGATCATTTGTAACACAAAGGACAAAAGCTTGAGGGGATGGATACCCTGTAGTAGATGGTGTGATTATTTCACATTGCATTCCTGTATCAAAACATCTCATGTATCCCATGTAGATATACACCTGCTATGTACCCACAAAAAAATAAAAATAAAAACATTCATTTCATAGAAACCCTGTGATGGATGTGTAATTATGACACATGGTAACTTTATGGTTATGAAGAATGATCCAAAGTACTTTATTGAGTCTAAAGCTGCAGATTAGCTAGTTCTACTTCTCCCAGTTTGAGTTTATGCTAAGGAGTTCCTGCACTCTACTCTTTTCTGTTCCTTTGTATAACTCTATAAAATGTTCATGAGTTGGACTGCAGTATTTCATCTTGCCACTGGGATGATGCCATTACCTAATAAATATTGAGCCCCATCTTAGAAATTCCAGACTTGTGGAAAAGAGCAAGAAATATCAGAGCTCACCTAATTGACCCTGTTCCTTTAATAGCTGAAACTTAGTTTGCAAGAGTTCAGTGACTTCCCAAAGTCATGTTGTTAGCTAGTGGGCGTTGGTTGTGCAAGAACACACTGCCGTTTATTTAAAAAACAAAAAAAATAAAAGGTAAAATGGTAAGAAATACAGAACAATGTTCTGGGAGTCAAGACAGTTTTTCCACTCTCAACTTTGTGTCTGTCTCATTGGATATAACAAGTTGCTTCAGCAGTTTGATTAGAAATAAAAACAGGAATGTTAGATAAGAAGCAGTTTCTAAATGCCTTCACCATGCTAAGTTCTGTGTTGTCTCTATTGGATTGAGCCCATAAATGTGAAATTCTTTTCAATCAGATGACTTGGGAATGGGATTGAAAAAGGAAAAATTTCAGGAACTACTTAGGAAGCACAGATGATATTTACAAGGTATGGAAGGAAGTATATTAATCAGAGGACTAGACTAGAGGCAAGGAGGTTGTTTTTTTCTCTTTTAACAGACAGATGGTGTAATTAGTTGTCTGTTTAAGGACAGATATCTTTACTCTTAATTTTCTCATATGTAAAAGAAGGGGACAGATCTGGATGGTTCCTAAAATTCCTTCCAGCTCCAAAATTCTGTTTGGTCCTTAGTTTAGTTCACAAGCCAAACTAAACTACTTGTATGAAGAATAGTTGTAGGCTGGGTGCTGTGGCCTATAGTCCTGGCACTTCGGAAGGCCAAGGCAGGTGAATCACCTGAGGCCAGGAGTTCGAGACCAGCCTGGCCAACATGGTGAAATCTTGTCTCTACTAAAAATACAAAAATTAGCCAGGCATGGTGGCCGGCGTCTGTAATCCCAGCTACTTGGGAGGCTGAGGCAGGAGAATCACTTTAATCTAGAAGGCAGAAGTTGCAATGAGTCAAGATCATGCAACTGTACTCCAGCCTGGGCAACAGAGCAAAAACTGTCTCAAAAAAAAAAAGAATAGTTGTAAATCAAATTAATCATTAAATGAAATTATAAATTAAAACAGTTAATGGTGGATCTCAAGTTTCTATTTGAAATGATTTGGTTGAAACCCTTTCAGCCAATGATGGAAATAAGCCAGCAACCACTTTCTTTGTTTTGTGGAAACCATGATATTCTTCCCTTTTTGCTTCCTGTGTTTTTTCTTTTTTAAAAAAAGATTAGTATAAATAATTTATCTAGGGATTCTCATTACAATGCATATGTAGAAAAATTTTATGTAATAATCAAGTCCAGTAACTCCTTTTCATTCATTCTGAGAGTCATTTCTCCTGCCAGAAAGAACCACTGCTCACAGTTTGGTATGTATATTTATGGCTTTTCCTTACTTCTTTCCTGCCTTCCTCCCTTTCTTTTCTTTCTTCCATCATTTTAAACAATCATATAGAAGAGTATACTGTATTTTTGCAGTATACTTTCCACTTACCATAACTTAATGCTCTTAATGTATCAGTATACATAGTTTTATAGCCAAATATTTCATGGTTCCATAATTTATTGATTCCTCTATGAAAGAGATGTGTCTGTAAATTTTGTCTGTATCATTTTACTACATATAAATGCTTGCTTCTTTATATTCTTTTAACTAAACATTTTATATGATTTGATTTTCTCTTTTATTTTAGCATATCAGTTATATATATTTTAGTGGTTGCTCTAGAGTTTGGAATATATATTTATACTTAATCTAAGTTCACTGTTTTTGGTAAAAATTTAAGGGGTACAAGTGCAGTTTTGCTATGTGGATGTATTGTGTAGTGGTGAAGTCCCAGCTTTCAGTGTACCCTTCACCTGAATAATGTACATTGTGCCCGTTAGGTAATTTCTCATCCCTCATTTCCCCCAACTCTCCCACCCTTTTGAATCTCCACTCTGTATTATTACACACTCTATGTCCATGTGTGCACATTATTTAGCTCCCACTTATAGGCGAGAACATTTAGTATTTGATTTCCTGTTTGTGGGTTGTTTCATTTAAGATAATGGTCTCCAGCTCCATCCATGTTGCTCCAGAAGACATGATTTCATTCTTTTTTGTGGCTGAATAGTATTCCAGTGTGTGTGTGTGTTTATATGTGCGTGCGCGTGTGTATATCACATTTTCTTTAGTCATCTGTTGATGTACACTTCAGTTGATTCCATATCTTTGCTATTATGTATAGTGCTGTGGAAAACAT